AATCCCCAGCCCGGACCCGCCAAACAACAATGACGGCTGCAACCAAAAAATAGCCAGGCGCTGTGCCGGGCACCTGTAGTCCCAGCTACTTGGGAGGCAGAGGCAGGAGAATCACTTGAGCCCCGGAGTTGGAGGTTGTTGTGAGCTGTAATGCCATGGCACTCTACTCAGGGTGACAGATTGAGGCTCTGTCTCCAAAAAAAAAATGGTAACTATGAAAAGATGATAAGTGTGTTAATTAGCTAAAATGTGATTATTTCACAGTGTATATTAAAACATCACATTGTATACCTTAAATCAGGCATCCTCAAACTATGGCCCAAGGACCACATGCGGCCCACCGGGTGTTTTTGCTGCCACTGCCTGTCCTGCTTAGCAGCCGACTAGTCCCAGGGCCTGCAGTCTGGCCATCCAGTGGTCTGAGGGACAATGAACTGGCCCCCTGTTTAAAAAGTTTGAGGACCCCTGCCTTAAATAGACACATTTTTCTATGTCAAAAAATTAAATTCTTGGCTTGGCATCTGTAGCACAGTGGTTACGGTGCTGGCCACATACACCAAGGCTGGCAGGTTCGAACCTGACCCAGGCCAGCTAAACAGAAATGACAACTGCAACAAAAAATAGCCAGGTGTTATGGCAGGTGCCTGTAGTCCCAGCTACTTGGGAGGCTGAGGCAAGAGAATCACTTAAACCCAAGAGGTTGCTGTGATATCACGGCATTCTACTGAGGGCGACATAGTGAGACTCTGTCTCAAAAAAAAAAAAATTCTCATAGAGTTTAAAAGACCAAAGAAATGCTTCAAAGGAGAGGGCTACAAGGGGGGAATCATAGGGAGAAATAGATGAAACAAAGTTGACTGTATGTAAATCAGTGATTCTTAACTAGTGTGCTATTGTGCTGCAAAAAGATCTTAGGTATGCCCTGAAAATTTTAAAGATTCTTAATTAAATTACTTTTAAAAGAATGTCAAAGCACAGTATTATTTTACCCTTTTTTAGATCAACATAATTTATTTAAGTATGCTGTAGAAGTTTATGGGTTCAAGTGTTCCATGAGATAAAAAAGGTTGAAAAACATTGATGTAGGCTCGGCGCCTGTGGCTCAAGCGGCTAAGGCGCCAGCCACATACACCTAAGGTGGCGGGTTCGAATCCCCAGCCCGGGCCCGCCAAACAACAATGATGGCTGCAACCAAAAAATGGCCAGGCGTTGTGGCGGGCACCTGTAGTCCCAGCTACTTGGGAGGCAGAGGCAGGAGACTCGCTTGAGCCCAGGAGTTGGAGGTTGCTGTGAGCGTGATGCCATGGCACTCTACCCAGGGGGATAGCTTGAGGCTCTGTCTCAAAAAAAAAAAAAAAAGAAAAACAATGATGTAAATGATGGTTGAAACTAGGCAAGGTAGAGTTAGGAAGGAAGTTTATACTGTTATCTATCTTTACCAGGGGTGCCAAAAATATGTCTATACATTTTAAGTGATGTTATCTTTGTATTACTTCTCAAAGTTGAATTATGGTAGCAATGTGTAGGACGACGTTCACTCTAAAATGGCATTAATCAAATGAATGCCAGCTTTACCATGCTATAGGCAGGATAGTCAAAGAAAATGGTGGAAGCCATTTTGTTGTTGTTGGAGGAGTGCAAGACCATTTTGAAGTGGTATTTAAAATTCAAGAACACTGTAGAAGTACAATAGCAATGGAGGCTTAAGTATGCAACAGGACCTTCAACATGCCTAACAATTGCATGCGTTCGTGGTAAGTTTGAGACGCATGGTACTATGTGTGATGTGCACACTGATGTGTGATGAGGATCAGGGAGGCCTCACGTAGTAACAAGTCCTGCACAGCAGTAAGTCCTGCTACTTCTTCTATGGTGTTGGACCAGTTTATACACTCACCACAGAAGTCTTCTAGACAGTGTGCAAGTGAGACACCAGTTAGCAGAACAAGCATATGACGCATTCTTAAAACAGCAAAATGGAAAAGATTTCATCCCAAGATACACAGAGACATGAGAGCTTACCTTGATGAGAATTTGCCAGGATTAAGAAGTGCAGTTTCCCCCACATTCTCCTTGCTTAACACCCCTTGACTTCTTCTTGTGAGGAACCTTAAAGGATGTAGTGTGGCATAAAAAACTGGCTACACTGGGGGTACTTTGGGAAGAATTGAAACAGCATATGCAGTGATACAAGTGGACACTTTGGTCAATTTTTCTCAAACAGTAGTTTGCTATAAACAGAAGTGTCTGGATGCTGTTGGTAACCACTTTGAGCACCTCTTATAATTGCAGAAGTCGAATGTGACTTGTATTCATCTTTTCTTATCAGTATATACACATATTGAATTACAATTTTAATACAGCTTTTTCCTTTCTTAAAATGTGTACATTTTGGGGGCACCTTCTAGTTTTGTGTGCTGGAAAATGGCAGTTAAAAGTTGTACTTTAAGTGGGGGGGAAGAAATAATAATGGCCTGACTAATGCTTTACCTTTGTAATAAGAATTTCCAGCAGAGATATTTTTAATCCTTTGCTTATACTGTAAGGCATGGAGAAATGTAGGCATTAATTTTGTATGGCATATCTTTTTTTTTTTTTTTTTGAGACAGAGCCTCAAGCTATCCCCCTGGTCAGAGTGCCGTGGCACCACAGCTCACAGCAACCTCCAACTCCTGGGCTCAAGCGAGTCTCCTGCCTCAGCCTCCCAAGTAGCTGGGACCACAGTTGCCCGCCACAACGCCTGGCTATTTTTTTTGGTTGCAGCCGTCATTGTTGTTTGGCGGCCTGGGCTGGATTCGAACCCGCCACCTTAGGTGTATGTGGCTGGCGCCTTAGCCACTTGAGCCACAGGCGCTGAGCCTGTATGGCATATCTTAAGGACAGTGGAAGGAAGAGAATTTAAAATCATGTTGACATTGTTCAAACTGATCTCTGTCTTTGTGTCTGTCCTTGGTTACCTAGGTAGAGCTCCACCTGACTCAGCCTCACACTTACATAGGCTATATCAAGCTACTTTTACAGAGACTTTAGGTGAAAGTAATAAAAATGTTATTATCTAACTTTGGGTCATTAGGTCAATGCTCTGAGATTTGGTGGCCTTATACAGACAACAGTGCTTCTTTCCTATTAAAGAAAGACATAGCAATCATATCAGATGATTATTTCTTGAGGCAACATAAAGTAGACAGAAAGAAGTTCATCCAAGCACTACCAGTTATTAGCTATGTGATCTCTAACATGTTATTTAACTTAGAACTCTGTTAAGATGGAGGTTAAAAGATTTAATTAATGAGGATATTATTTTCTTTAATTTTTTTGAGACAGAGACTCATCTCTTGCCTGGCTAGAGTGCAGTGGCATCATCATAACTTATTGCAGCCTCAAACTCCTGGGTTCAAGTAACCTCCTGCCTCACCCTCACAAACAGCTGGGACTATAGGCAGCTAAATTTTCTATTCTTAGTAGAAATGAGATTCGCTCTTGCTCAGGCTTGTCTCAACTCCTGAGCTCAAGCAGTCCACCTGTTTCAGCTTCCCAGAATGCCAGGATAATAGGCGTTAACTTCTATGCCCAGCCTTTTTTTATACTGAGATTTTTATTTCTTGATTCTGTGCAATCCTGGAACTTTAAACTTTTATTTGTTGGAACTAACATACAATGTAGTAAAGTAAAATTGTTCTTCAGTTTTCATAATTTTATAGTTATAGGAGATCACACTTTGGAAAATGAATGAACCTTATTTAGTGTAGAACTAATGCCTTTTGCTCATAATCCCCTTTTAGTCTCTTGCACTAAATCTTGTATGTAGCAAATGACCAGTAAGTTTATCTTTTTTTCTTATTTATACAGATAGTACACATCCTAAATATGACTTCTGCAAAGATAATTTCTTTTTTGCTACCACCTGATGAAAGTCTTCATTCACTACAGTCTCGTATTGAGCGTGAAACTGGAATAAGTACTGGTTCTCAAGAGCTACTTTCAGAGACGGGAATTTCTCTGGATCCTCGGAAGCCAGCTTCTCAATGTGTTCTAGATGGAGTTGTAAGAGAATTCTAGTATAATTAAGAGTATAAGGAATCTGTTTCTGTTGACAAATTGCATGTCCTGCATTTTTTATGCATATTTGGAATTCTTTGGGAGGCAGTGCACATCTTTTAATAATTCTTTTAGTCAAAACATGGAGGTGGTCAGTGTAAGGACGTAGGCCTTCTGACTCTCTTACCATTGCTTTGCTAGGTGAACAAGATAGGAATGAAACATTTATTGTTTTGAACTTTATAAGACTTTTTCTTTGGTGCCAGTTCTCTCTTTCTACTTTCTATTCTTTTTTTCTATTTGAAGCCCAGTATTTTGAAATTAGACCAGCCGTCTTGTAGGTCCCATAAGTGAGTGGTAAAATATGATTGTGGTCATGATGTTTTTCCCCTATTTTTCTCTTTATGACTTTATTGAGGCATATTTTTTAAAGTATTAGGTAATTCACCCCTTTCGAGTGTACAATTCAGTGATTTTTTTAAGTAAATTTACCAAGTTGCATAGTTATCACTATAAATCAGTTTTAAAACATTTCCGTCTCAGTAAGTCCCTTATGTTCATTAACATTAATCTCCATTCTGCCCATTCAAGGCATCCATGAATCTGTTTTCTATCTCAGTAGACCTTTCTTTTTTGAACATTTCATATTAATGGAATCATACAATATGTAGTCTCTTTTGTCTGACTTCTTTCATTTAGCATTATACATATATACATATATATATTTTTTGTTTTTGAGACAGAGTCTCACTATGTCATTCTTGGTAGAGTGCTGTGGCATCCTAGCTCACAGCAACCTTAAACTCTTGGGCTCGAGCAATTCTCTTGCCTCAGCCTCCCAAGTAGCTGGGACTATAAGTGCCTATCACAGCACCCGGCTATTTTATTGTTGCAGTTGTTTAACTGGCCCAGGCCGGGTTTGAACCCGCCACCCTCAGTGTATGTGGCTGGTGCCATAACCACTGTGCTATGGGCCCTTAGCATTATATTTTTGAAGTTCATCTATGTTGTAGCATGTATAAGCACTTATAATTCCTTTTAATTAGTGAATAGTACAGTAGAACCTCTATAAGTTGACCACCCAAAGGACTGAAACAAACTGGTCTCCATACAGAGGTGGTCAATGTAAGGAACGAGGCTGATGGTACATATGGTGCATGTCTGGTCTATGAAAATCGGTCAGCTTATTAGGATGTGGTCAGCTGTCATTAGGATGTGGTCACCTCCATGTGAAGGTTCTGTTGTATTTCCATTGTGTACATATATGCCTTTTTGGTTTTGGTTATTGTTTTTCACTAAAGTTTGTATTTTTTTCCTTAACTAAAGTTCAGATTCTATATCTATAAGATGTATGCTAATACACATTGATTTTGTTCATTTGCGTGCATTTCAAAGTAGGAAATCTGGTAGAGAACCTAGAATTTTCAAGGATCTTTGGACAGAATTTTAATTGTTTAATTTTAATTGTTTCTTTTTCAGAGAGGCTGTGATAGCTACATGGTTTATTTGTTTGATAAAAGTAAGACTGTATATGAAGGGCCATTTGCTTCAAGAAGTTTATCTGATTGTGTAAATTATATTGGTAAGTACCTTCCGTTTAGGGGTTGAGATTTAAACCTAAAATAATATAACTTTGACTCTCACTATGATTAGTAGAAATGGTCTTTTGGTGTTTCTGTTCTATATCTCTCATATTTGAACTTTCTGAATGTGGTGAAAAATGGGTCTATGTAGTTTGGAAATTTGCAAATGATTAAAATGATATCTGCTGGAAATCCTTCCTACAAAGGTAAAGCACTAATCCAGGCTATTATTATTTCTTTTTGTTCTCTCTTAATATACAAATTTTAACTGCTATTTGGAAGGTGAAAATATAGATTTTAAATCATCTCCAGTTCCCTTATTTAGGACAGGATTTATTTTACTGAGGACAGGGTTCTCATAAGAGAATGAAACTTCACTGTTAATTAAACCTACTTTTAACTGTCCCTTCATTATTTAAGCATATTCAAATATTTATTTCATTTTAGCCTATGAAATGGATCATTTTATATTTATTTCATTTATCCTAAATACTGCTTCATGTTCCAATGTTTTAATTTATCCTGTGAAAATTATTTTCTTTTGAAGAAGTTTTTGATCAATTTATGTCCCCCCAAACTAAAATAAAGTACAAAATTATAAAATCAAGAATAAAATTGAGCATGTGGACTAAAATATATGTAATCTCCTCTTTTACCTTTTTATTAGTTTTCTCTTAAATGTTTCTTTTAAATTGAGGCATAGTTGACATAGTGACATGCACATATTGTATAATTTGATGATTGATGATTTTTGACAAATGTGTATACCTGTGTAATCCATACCATAATCATGATACAGAACATTCCTTCACCTCAGAGTGTTTCCCTCATGTCTCTTTCCAGTCAGTTTTTCTTTTCTCAGACCTTTTAAAGTTTCATTTACTCATTATTTTTTACCCTTTTTAGAATAGTTTTAGATTTACAGAAAAATTAAGCAGATAGTACAGAGTTCTCATATAACCCCCTCTCATTATATATAATAGTTTCCTTTATTGTTAACATCATATTATTGTAGCACATTTGTTATATAGTTAATAGTTTGTGGTTATTATTCACAAAAGTCTATCTTGTATTCAGATTTCCTTAGATTTTACCTAATGTCCTTTCTTTGTTGTCAGATCCCATCCAAGATACCACATTACATTTAGTTGTCATGTCTCCTTAGGTTCCTATTTGGTGTAACAGTTTTTGAGATTTTCTTTCTTTTGATGACCCTGACAATTTTTTAGGAGTACTAGCAAGTATTTTATAGGATGCCCCTCTGTTGAGTTTGTCTTATTTTTCTGCATGATTAGACTGAAATTATGGGTTTTTGAGAGAAAGATTACAGAAATAAAGGGATATTTTCATCACATGTAAAGGATACATATAAATTATGATGGTCAGTGTTGACTTTGGTTACCTGACTGAAGTTGTTTGTCAGGTTTCTCCAGTGCTGAGTTTAATCTTTGCTGCCCTTTCCATACTGTACTCTCTGGAAAGAAGTCATCATGCATAACCCACACTTAAAGGAGTGGCAAGCTGTGTTCCCCTCCTTTAGGATAGAGCGTCTACATAATTTATTTGCAGTTTGTCTGCATGGGAGAATTGTCCCTTCTCATTTATGAAATTGTTCAATTATTTATTTATGTCAGTATGAACTCATGATATTTATTTTATACTTTGTATTGTAATCCAGTACTAGTTTATTTTGTTGTGCAAATTGTGTCAGGTTTGGTCCTTAGGAGCTCTTTAGTTGGCTTCTATACCTCTTTTACATGTTGCCATCAATGAGCTGTTTTGGTTTTTCTGAGCACTTCCCTACATTTGGACATTACAAAATATGTTCCAGCTTCATATTGTGTATTTTTCCCCCAGTCTTAGAATCAGCCATTTCTCCAAGGAACTCTGGTTCCTTCTGTTGGAAAATGGTATTTAGAAATCAAGACCTGAACACTAGGTGTGTATGTTGCTACTGGGATATCATTTCTTTTAGGCTTTTTCAGACTCTGCTTTTTAAAGTATGTGGGGACCTATTTGTTGGCTATGGTGAGCATATCTTGCTCTGTAAACCTATATCTTGTTCTTCCTCTGTAAACATATCTTTTTCTTCCTTAATAAACTTTTATTTTTGTTTTATTTTTGAGGGAGAAAAGTATGATTTGCTTGTGGGGTATGGGTAATCAGGTTCCCCCACCCCAGACTTTAAAAAAAATTTTGATGGGTTTTTTGGAAGCCACAGGAAGAAGTGTGGGTATATAAGAATAGAGGAACGGTCAGCACACACCTGGCCTTCCAGCTACTCAGGCAGAAGGATCACTTGAGCTTAGGAGTTCAAGTCCAGCTTGGGAAATATAGTGAGACCCCCGTTTTTTTTTTGGGGGGGGGGGGACAGAGCCTCAAGCTGTCCCCCTGGGTAGAGTGCCGTGGCATTACAGCTCACAGCAACCTCCAACTCCTGG